TCAAGATGTGCCCAGGAGGAAATCCGGCTGACGGAGTCAACCTGCAGCTGACTGCAGCCACACCCAGTCCCAGAATCATCAAGACACATCTCCCCCTGTCCCTGTTACACCCAAGCCTGCTGGACACTGTTAAGGTAACTTTCACATCTGTAGGCAGACTTTCTTGCAGAGTGACTAATTTTGATCTCAGTTTAACATGCATTTGCCAATCCCTGTGACAGCTAAATAAATACCTGTGTATTGATACGAGTGTGGGCAGCTGCACCGCATAAAGATCATCAGATCCAGCCAGCATTGCTCGCACGCCAGGCTCCTGGCCCATCTATGGTGTACAACCTGAAGGCTGATGCAAATGCTATGGCTCATGACCATCTATTGAGAGTGGCAGAATGTAGCACGAAGTATATGTTACTGTCCTTTGGTGTCGGTGGCAGGTGGTGTACGTGGCTCGGAACCCCAAGGACGTCGTCGTGTCTCTGCACCACCACTGCCGCCTCCTCCAGACACTGGACTACTCGGGGACCCTGGAGCAGTTCGTCAAGTATTTCGTGGAGGATGACGGTAAGGGCTAAGTGGGTCTTTTCATTTCTAGTCTTATTAAAAAAAAAAAAAAAAAAAAAAAACTGTTGTAAGCGAAAATTTGTAACATTAGGTTTCGCATTTTTTATTTCCCTTATTACTTCGCAAGTCTATCAAAATTGTAAGAGAGAGAGAGAGAGAGAGAGAGAGAGAGAGAGAGAGAGAGAGAGAGAGAGAGAGAGAGAGAGAGAGAGAGAGAGAGAGAATGACCACAATCTCGGATCCCTCCAGTGGTGTACGGGCCGTACTGGCGTCACGTGAAGGAGGCCTGGGAGAAGCGCGAGGCCCCCCACCTGCACTTCGTCTTTTACGAGGACCTGAAGGCTGACCCGGCCTCGGAGCTTAAGAGGCTCGGCAGCTTTCTGGGCTGCGACCTCACCAAGGACCAGCTGGAGAACGTAAGGCGACTTTCTCATTGCATGAGTGAGATTAACGATGGCGCAGTGAATCATTCTGTGAAATACTGATTGTTGATGGTCTCGATTAACAATATTACTATGATAACCACAATAATGATAATGGCAATAAAAAAAACAACGATAACAACAATAATAACAATAACAATAATGAAGAATTACAAATAAAAAAAAACAATAATGATATTATCATTACCATTATCAATGATAAGTATATAAATACATATATGTGGTAAATCCTACGCCTACAGTTGCAAGTCGTTGAACTGGAGTTACATAGAATTATCAATTTCACGTTAGGCACAAATGAACCATAAGTCAAGTTCCATTCATGTTCCAGTGCGTCAGGCTGAAGTCTCTCCACAATACTGACATTTCCCTCCCTCTCCCCGCAGCTCATCAAGTACACTAGCTTCGCCGAGATGCAGGCGCGGGACAACGTGATGGGTGTGAAGTCCGCTGAGAATCCTGTCATGAACCAGGGCGTGGTCAAGGAGGACGGCGGCTTCTTCAGGAAGGGTGAGGGGGGGGGGTCCTCTTGGGACAGGTCGCGCGGACTGCTGGCTTGCCCGCCCTCACGGGGGTGCCGGGGTCTTCTCTCTTTCAAAGCATATTTCTTTGTCTGTCTGTGTCTCTCTCTCTATCTATATTTACATTTCTATGTCTATCTCTTCTCTCTCTCTATATATGTATGTGTGTGTGTGCATGTATGTTTATATGTATGTATGTGTTTGTATGTACAGTATGTGAGTATGTATGTATTTGCATGTTTATGTGTATGTGTATGGGTATGTGTATATATATATGTGTGTGTGTATACAGTATATATATATAAATCTATCTATCTATCTATCTATCTATCTATCTATCTATCTATCTATATATATATATTTACGTATATATATGTATACACATACATATACATATGCATATCTATAGCTATATCTATCTGTCTATATATACATATACACACACCTTTATATTTCACATATATTATTTTTGTTGCGCTCGAGCATATTGATAGCAGAACAACCTTCTTTAAAACAATAATGTGGGTGTAATGATAATTATGGATCAATGATCCAACACCCCATTATCATCACCCACGTAATCATAACTATTACGATCTCCACCATAGTTATCAGTACCATCTTCATCACTTTAATCAATATCATTAACATCGTAATTATTACACACCGCCGCCTTCATCATCATCCTCATCATAATCGCCATCGTCACAACAGCTATCATAATCTTCACCTTCGTCGTTATCATCATCATTACCATCATAATGATCATCATCACAGCCGTCATCACAAGCGTGCAGTTCCAGCACCCGCTGTCTTGCCGCAGGCGAGGTGGGCAGCTGGAAGGAGCGGCTGCCGGCGGAGGCGTCGGAGCGGCTAGAGCAGTGGGCGGCAAAGTACCTTGAGGGCATCCCCTTCAAGTACAGCATCTGAGCTCAACACCACGCCTGCAACGCGTGCTTCCCGCCAGCGCGTTTATCGTCTTATGCACAATGATAATCTGGAACCGCTTGCAGAAAATGTAATCGGAGGATCTATAAGCCTATAAAAATCGCGAGCTATATGCTTCCTGTTTTGCTCATGCCTTTACAGCTGTGTTTACTGTATCAATGTGTTAGCATCAATGAACTTTATGACTCAGCTACTTCAATGTGAATGTTAAGCATTTACCTTTCGCACATAAGGATATATCCAATTTCATAAAAATCGTTTTGTGTTATTTTTACACTGTATTCCCGAGCTTGTATGTGTATGTGCACGAGGCGAACTTGTTTAAAGACATATTACAAATCTTTTACACACATGTGTCAGCAGAACCCCCGCCCCTATAGAAGACTTGCGAACTGTGAATCAAGCGGCTACTGCAATAACGATGAAAACAAGTAGAATGCAAACTTGAACGTCCTCACCCCTTTCTCTCCTCTTCCCGCGGGCTCCTCCCGTCTAAACCTCTCCCCTTAGTTAGCTGTAGACCTATGTATCCCGCAATGGTCTTATTGCCAGACTGCCACTAGCACTTAATTCTGCTTGGCCCTATTGCCGCGCCAGTGTGCCTGGAGAGAGCCAGTCAGTTGGTCTATCTAGCTAATACTGCATTTGATTTGTGAATGGTTTAAGGACTGAAAATATATATTCATTAAATAGATAAAGTGTTTCTTTGCCCTTGCTATTCCAAGAAGGACTTGATAAAGTGTGCTATCGTAGTATACGAAATGACATAGGGAATGTGGATTCTGACTGACAGAAGTAAATCATTAACACATGAATACTCCGATGACTTCGGTGGGACACATACTTATACTTATTTCTATATTTTTTATCAAATGTGCCAAATGTTTTCTTTGGCATATCTAAAATAACCGCAAGGGTGGTTATATCAATGCAGATAATAATTGTTAAAATACAGCCAAGTAAAATGATAATTTGATTACTAATCCTTATCACTGATAACTCAACAGTTGATAGGAAAAATAATCTGTTAATTAAATAAACACGTTGTGAGACACTGTAGTAGACAAATTAGTCATTGCCACTTCGATCGCTTGCCTTATACTGGAAACTGTAAACCCCTGTCCCTTGTCTTGCAGTTGCCTCCAGGATAGTACAGTGCTAATGTGTCGGCCTGTTATCGGAGAGGTCGGCGGTTCGCAACCGCCCAGGCGCAAGAAGTTGCAATTTTCGCCTACTGTGGCTGGACAACACGGTGGGGAAGGACTTTGCTCAGTTGAGTCAGCACCAGCTGACACACTCTAATCGAATCGCCATTACTCGGCACAGGCCGAACTCCCTTCATAGACATAGCCCGGGCGAGGTTCAGCTTCCCATATCTGGCTTATCCTTATCCTTATTCAAAGCCCCATCCCGATCCTGACGTATCCTAACCTAACCTACGCCATTCTAACTTACCCTCTCCTAACCTAAAAAGCTCCATTCTACAGATCGCAAGCTCTCTTCTCAGCTTTAATTTATGCTGTGGCGTTGGTCGTGGTACAAGTAATTTCGTTTTCGGATCATGAATAATTGCAAGGGTGAATTATGTATGAAGATGAGATGATTATTATCCGATTTCTTGTAAAGATTGCTTTTCCTGATTAATATTTCTACAAGGAAATTCGTCATCACGAGTCGATAAGATTATATTGATAAACCATGTGCAAAACAGGTTGCATCATCCATATCACAGGTACTTGTGCATTTGTTTAACTCAAACTTTCGCTTTGGGATATTCAAATCCGGCGACAGAAACCTAGTTCAGATCTTACGTAACAAACAGGAAACAACACGTACAATACCAGAAGTACAAATCCTTATCAACATCAGTTCAATGTGGAGTGCCCCAAGGTTCTATTCTCGGCCACTTCTATTCTTATTATATGTCAATGATATTACACGCTCTAACCATATTCTAAATTAGATTTATTTGCATATAAAAGTAATCTTTATCTTAGCAGCACAAATGTCTATGATCTCTCAATTGCTAACCAAGATCTAATTGGATGGTGTCAAACAAGCTTACCCTGAACCTTGTAAAAAATGCATTACGTTGTGTTTGCAAGCAAAAATAAGAGAGCAGCTCACTTCCCATCGCTCATAGTCAACAGCA